CAAGTTTTTGTACTCATTTTGATGTTTCCGATTCTTTGAGGAATGAATTTCAAACTAATACTTTACAAGATGCAACTGTTATATATGTGTTGTTGTGTATTTTTCACTGTATACAATACATTAATTGGCTGTTATCATATTACAGGTTATCGTCACGTTCCACTTTTTTCCAAACTTGGTGTCAGTTTACGTCCTGCTTCACTCTTTGTACATGCTTGGTACTCAAGAAATAATGTATGTTAGGATTTCTGCCTATTCCACAATAAAGATTCAGTGGTTTAATTATATTAAGCATTCGGTGTTACAGTTTTTCTTCCTGAATTAATTTTATTCTGTATGTACTAAACGCACATAAAATATACCTTGTTGAGTAAGAATAAAATCCCTCTGTTGTATTTCTAACAGATGGATACTTTTCAGATGTACTAAAAAGAAGAAAAGTTTCCTTTAGTCTCTATAAATTGTTTGCATTAAATCAAAAGCAATGATCAAATTGTATATCTTATGTTTTAAATTCAGTCATTTAATAAAGTTTATTTTCTACCTATCTATCCCCAGATATATCTTGAATGTGTAACAGATCATTGTATATACCTCATAGATAATAGAATACAAGTGATAATATTTTGCCTTGTAAACTGGTCCCTGGATTACAGATCCTAATTTTGATAAAATATCATGAACAGGCTTGATATATAACTAGGCTTTGGTTGTTTTTATTGTCCAAAATGTACCAAAACTGAACAGGAAAAGCTGCATATGGTATAGCTACAGTTTGCAATCTGCACTTTCTCTGTCTTACTCCAAAGTGTTACATGACAACCTTGATTATCCAAAGCCATGATAAGCAACAGAGATAAATGTAGGCCCATATGGCATGAGATTCTGCAACAGAATGGGAGAGGTGGCAAACTATGACATGTGTCTACATTCAGTACATAACTACAGTAATAAATTAAGGTACAAGGAAGGAGGTTCAGGTTAGACAATAGGAGGAACTTCCTATCTCTATGAGCTGCCAGCTGTCAACTGATGGAAGAGGCTACAATATGACATAATGAAATATCCTCTGCTAGAAGTTTTCACATTGAGGCTGGATGGTCGTCTATTGGAGATGTTCTAGTACTATAGATCCTGTACTCAACAGGAGTTTGGGTTAGATAACTTTTGTGGTTACTTCCAACTCTGCTATACTGTCAAATGCTATGGTGTTGGTACACAAATCCAAAATAGCAGCATTTGTGTGTTGATGTTACTGTCCATGGTTTTGTTTTGTTTTTTCATTTTGTCATAATTTATTGCTAACATGACTGTCATCTAGTGACAATCATAGATATTTGAAAGATTGGGAATTTGAATGAAAGTGGAGTAAATGATAAGCACCATTAATCAAAGTAATTAAAAAATTTGATATGACAGGTATCTCAAATTTTGAGAAAGGTTAAGGATGTAAATAAATGTCAAATTTATGAATATCTGTTGGAAAATGAAGATGTAAGTTGAATTATAAATGAAAGGGCTAAAATGCATATAGTTATGGGATTGTATGAAAATAGGAATCCTTTGGTTAGTGATAGTTGCATGTTATATATGAGCCTTGGTGGTGCAGTGGTTAGAATGCAGTACTGCAGGCTACTTCTGCTGCCTGCTGGCTGCCTGCAATTTTGCCAATCGAATTTCACCAGGCTCAAGGTTGACTCAGCCTTCCATCCTTCCGAGGTGGGTAAAATGAGGACCCAAAATGTTGGAGGCAATATGCTGACTGTAAACCGCTTAGAGAGGGCTGTAAAACAGTATATAAGTGCTATTGCTATATTCCTGTGAATATAACAGAAGAATTGGATGTGATCTTTGGGGAAAATTGAGAAACATTCTTCATGAGATCCAGGGGAAAAATATTCTGTTAGATGGATGGGAAACAAGATGAAAGAATATAGAAAAAGTGAATAATTCAGAGGCTCAAAATGAATGAGAATGATGACTACTAGCAAGTACTTGCTTAGAAAGCTTCATTCCAGGCAGTTTACAATCAAAATGTTGGTCTCTTTGTGATATTTGCTTACAGCAAATGTGTTTTTTTCCCTATAGTAAATAGTTCATGACTTCATCAGCTCTCTTGAGGCTTATTAATGCTCAACTAGCTTTTCTCGGGAAGACATTAATTAATTTCAAGAGTGAACTGGGGTGACAGCAACGTCTCTTCAGTTCTGTCATGACAAAATATATTCTTTTTTTATCTTTATTTTTCTCTTCATTACAATTACCCTTCAGCTCCAATAGCCTTTTAAGTTGTGAGCTATTTAAGTCAGATTTGTTTGCTTTGAAACTATTGTGTTTTCCCGAAAAAAGCCATTTTCTGCACTGAGTCCCAGACATACTCAAGTGTTTTGCATCTTTTGAAGAAAATGCCATTTACAGAGTAACATCATAGTTATAATACTGCAATATGGCTACAATCCAAAGCTGCACAAAAAGTGCATAAGGAATTATGTTTCTCAACAGCTGCGGCTTGTAATATGGGAATCTATCAGATTATAGTGGTAGGAACAAAACCCATCACAAGTAGTCCTCAATTAAAAATGGTAATTGGGACTATCTAAAGCTGTTGCATTGCCCTTCCAGCACAAATACATCCCTGTTCAAGCTGCTTGATGCTAAGCTCAATGTAAGTTTCATCTTTCTTTTATAAGAGTGGGTTTGGAGGCAGTTTTGCACTTGATGACTTCCATGACCTTGTCTCAAATTATCACAGGCCTGAAGCACAAGCAAGAGCACACCTTAGACCTGATGTAACTCTCATGCACATGGTAGTCTGCCAGCCTGTGTGGCTTAAAATTTCTTGGCAGCTTCCCTACGGATTTTGGTTGTGGAGAGCTAGCAGGATGTTTCTTCATCTAATGACCATACTATTTGGGTTAAAAACATCAATCAGGGCTGCAGAGATTGTCATTGCTAAGTTCTGTCACAGTTTTTTACACCCTCATTGTTAGCAACAGAAACTCCAGCCCCAATTGCCTTCGTCAATCGAGGACTAACCTATAATAGAAATAGTTTTCAGGCATAGCAAATCTATATTATTTACTGAGGAGTAAAGGAACATTGGTTCTGATCACACAAAATTACTCCATTTTAGAAGGGTTGTTGTTCCATACTACTGAGCATTTTCCTTGCCCCGATGCACTGGCTAGAGATGAACTGAGTTTTAGCCTAACTCCATCTATTCAGAAATAGTCCTCTCGAGAAACGTTGCTACCTTTGAAATTTCATGCTGCAGAATACATACAGATGGCTTTTTAATGTTGAAGCTAATGAGAACCATTTGCAAATAGAAGAGTAGTAATTCCATGAAGATAACTAAATGACAATGGGCCATGAAAAACTCGTTATAATATTTCTGCGATTAGTGGTCTCCTCTATACTCAGTGGTGTTCCTCACATACATATTCTCCAAGGCAAACGATTAGCAAATGTAATATTGTTCATCCAACTATATTAATAAGTCTTTCAAATGTTCCACTACTTTCTATGATAAATCATTTCAAAAATATTTCATATTTTTAATATGTGTTACAATTTCTCAATTCTTACTGAAAATATAAGATGATAGATGTTCAAGTAGATGCTCCTCTATGCAAAAAATAATATTTAATGCATAAAAATCTATTCTTAAAGAACTGGCAAGCTAGAACCTACTTATTTAATCTGGTACTGCTCTAAGCATCAGGGCTATATCATTCAATTAATCAATTTGGTAATCTTTGGACATTTCTGTTTTGATTAATCAACAAGTTATGGCAAAGAAGCCAATTTCAAAGATTCGATTTTGAAACCTTAGGATTTAAATTCTAAAATTTATGCCCTATCCTAAATGTCCATGAATTGTATTTACTTAACGCAATTTATTATTGAGCTTTCTGCCAATAGCCAGCACTGAATGTGGCAGACAAAAAAATTAATTTGCAGCTAAAAACAATTCTCATATAATTTTCAGCATTATATAAAAATAACTGAAACACCTAGCATGCCTTAAATGCAGTCAAGAATCAGGTACAATAAAGACGCTCTTGCTAGTCAGCAGGAAGATACCGGAAGATAACCTCCCTGACTAACTTTGGTACAGAATTCCAAAGTACTCTAAAGCATCCCACACCTTAATACAAAACATATACATCAAATATTCCCAGAAGATGTATTTTTAATGACCCCTGAGTCAGAAAGAAATTGTAATTTGAGGCTGTAGGTCAGGGGCGTCAAACTCAAGGCCCGTGGGCTGGATCCGGCCTGTGCGATGCTTAGACCTGGCTTGCAGGCCCACCCTGGAAACAGCAAAGGACTGGCCTGTGGTGCCTCTGCCAGCAAAAACAGAGCCCTGGCGGGCTGCGTGTGGCCTCCCCGAACTCCATTTTCACTGGCAGAGGGCTGCAGGAGGCCGTTGTGGCTGAAAACGGAGCCTTGGTGAGTGACATCGAGCTGGCCATGCCCCAGATTTTTTCCCCATAGGAATTTGAGACTCATTAATATTTTAATTTGGGGTTGTTTTAATTTTACTGCCTATTTGAATTAGCTGTTTTTATCACATTTTACTGATTGGCATTCTCTATTTTCAAAATCCATTTAGAACATTAACATTATTAGGCCAATTCAAAGCTGACACCTCATCTGTGTTTAAGATTTAATAAAGCTATTATCAATATAGGGATTTTTTTAAAAAAATTACTCCTGTCCAATAGTTATCTTTGTTTTTCTTAAGAAATGAACGATGTTAATGGGGGTAGTTTTCTCTATTTTATTATGATATAAATATAGACTCACCTTTATAACAGCATGTTAAAGAAGCTCCTGTCTTCTGTAAACAATCTTGATATTTTATTGTATGTTCAAAGAAAGAAATGAAGTAGAAATACTAACCTAGACACCACTGACCTGGATACTGTTTATTGTGAAGGACTGTGTGTTTTCACGAACCATCAGGCAATAAATCAAAGAGATCACTTAGAATGTACTACACAACTGTTGTTTTATTTGGTCATTATTTCATTCACACAGGCATTGCAGCAACTATAATGATCCATCATTTCCAAAGGCCTTCACCGCTTTTCACTAAGTCATCATCAGTATATCCCAAGAGATTGAAGTGCGAGTAACTGGGAGCCTTCTCCGAAACTCTCTCCATGTTTCATTTGACAAATCGTAGAGGCTTTTCACCAGATCCATCTGAAATTTGTTATCTTCAGCTTCAATAAATTTCTCAAAATCCAAGGCAAATTGGTCCCGATGAATTAAATATATGGAACCTTCAGCAGTACTACTTGCTGTCCAGTGAAGATTACCTTTTTTGAAATAATGCAGCTGTACTTTTAAATCCCCTTTGATTTCTGAAACAGGTGGAGTTATTGCAATTATCCATTCTGATTTCCAGAGAAAGTTCCAGAATTTCTTATTCTGGTGGCTTTCCATGCAGATCACAAGAAATGGTTTGTTTCTAATTGTTTTTCTGTAGACCCGACAAACTCCTGAAATGAAATGCCTCTTCATATATGCTTCCAAGGTCACATTAAGGGTTTCTCTCCATAACTCTGCCTTATCTCTCCTAATATTACAATAAAGCAGAATTTTGTCAGCTCTTCTATTCAGATGATCAAATGTGAAAGAAAGCTTGATCTGTGGATCAAAGAAACGATCACCTTCCATGTCATTATGGCGAGTCACCAGCACATTGTCCCCTTTGATGTTTGCAGTGGTGAAATTTTTCTTGGAATGATTAGCGCACACCTGAGCAACCTCTTGCTTCATGAGTTTATCATCACAAAGCAGAAAGCGAAGGTCTTCAAAAACATTCTTGAATTCACCTGGAGGGCATTGTTTTAACAAATTGCATATTAATTTTATTTTCAGTGCCTTAGCTGCTTCTTCTTGGTCTATTTCAGTTTCCTCAGCGGGTTCTATATCTGGCAATGAGATTGCAAAATAAAACAAAGAGCTCTTTCAAATGTTTATGAATTAAACTCTACACTGCTTACTGACATTTCTTCCAAAAATAGAACAAAGTAGTTTTTCACTTTGAATCTTTCTTAATTGTCACTTCCAGAAATGAGTCTAGAACTTTCTAGGATTGAGCTAGATCTAGAATTGAATGTGAGTTTATTAAGAGTTTTAGTGGAAGCTGTAAGATCTTAAAATAGCAGTTCATTGTAAACTAAATTCAAGTCAGCAGTGATGTGTCCGAACCCCCCCTCCAATCCTAAGAATGAAATGCAATTTATGTTACATCAACTGAAATATTATTTATTTATCACATTTGTAAGGCTGCCTGACTCCATAGCAACTCTACATGGTGTACATATTAAAAATAAATTAGCAACAGATATACATACAATAGATTTCCAGAGAAAATAACTAACGTCTTCACAGTCATATTGCATTCCCTTAAAGGGAGTACTACTAAATCTGTTTACAAGGCCTGGGGGAAATGGCATAATTTAAGAGCCCATTTCAACAAGGCTATGATCGGGGCAATGCAACTCTCTGGACAGACGCAGTTCCAGAGGATAAATACCACAACAGAGAATGACACTGTTTTAATTGATGGGACGCAAAGCATACCAGCTTTGTCAGATTGAATATAATGGGCAGACCCTGAAGGAAACATAGAGTGTCTTAGTCAGACAGGCCTTATGGAAGTCTTTATAGATATAGAGGGCACAGAGAATGACTTTAAAAGGACAGGAAGAAGAGTCTCTAGCAAGGCAAGCATCAGATAAGTGGGAGGCTCACATTAAATTCTAGATCTAGCTTAATCCTAGAAAGTTCTAGACTCATTTGAAGCAACTAGTTTGAGTAAATGACTCTGACCATCCCTCGTTCACATAGAGATAAAGCGAGGGTGGAAGGGAGAACATTTGGACTCGCAAGTGGCTACAATGAAAGAAATCCTGAGTTACAAGAAGGGAATTTGTTAGGTCTACTTTAAAGGGATAACACCAGTGGTGGGTTGTTCCCGGTTCTGTCCGGTTCTGGCGAACTGGTAGTAAAAGCGGCGGGAAGCTCCGCCCACCTGCCCGGACATCATAATGGACGATCTGCGCATGCGCTCCCATTGCGAACCGATAGTAAAGGTTAAGTAGAACCCACCCCTGGATAATACCATTGTTGCTTGGGCATCGGCTGTTTGCTTTGCTGGTGCTCCTGGTGTAGTTGCTGAAGGTTGTGGTTCCGTTGGTTTTGGTGTTGGTTGAGTTGTTAAAGGGGCTGCCGCAGGAGGAACGGTGGGAGCTCCTTTTTAGATAGATGGATATAGAGAGAGATAGCTAGATTAAATTTATAAAGAAAAATTCCAACCCACAAAGACAAAACAAGGAAAGGCATTATCTTCAATTAAGTAACAAAGGATGACTTACCCGGTGCTGGCTTGGCTGCTGCTGCACCTGCTGGCGCTTGTGGTGCTGTTGTCGGTTTTGCCGCTGGCTCAGTCTTTAAAGGGGCCGCCGCAGGAGGAACGGCGGGACCTGCTGAATTATTTTTTAAAAAATATAGACATTAAAAACACAAAGAAAAACAACAATCCACAAGAAAACAAGGATAGATGTTATCTTGTATAAGTAATTGAGAAGGGATGATTTACCAGGAGCTGCAGGACTGGCTGCTGTTGTTGGTTGTGGAGCTGTTTGACGTTTTCATTTCCAAGGAGATTTGCCATAAGATATAATACAAGAAAAAAATATTAGGACTTGTATATTGAAGCTTGACAAAAGAACAAACAAGGAAAGCTGTTATCTTCATTTAAGTAACAAGGTGTCAGCACTTCAAGCTGCATTTACTCTAGTGCTGACATAAGAAGGAGAAGCGGAGGTGTCTGGAAAGGGACATTTGACTTTTCACCTACTTATTTTCCCTGGAGATAATATTTTCTCTGGAGATAATATCCCCTAGGAGATCGGAAGGGAGGGGGGAAATTCCTTTGAGCTGGAGCAGTAGATTAGGGGTAGAGTGACTTGGAAGATGGCCAATGAGTGCAGAGGGGTGGGGAAAGGAAAGGGAGGGTTTGGGGTCAGGAAGTCAGTGTTGGCTATGATGGAGTCGGAGTTGGAGTTTTTCATCAAAGACTTTGTTTGAAATGCAATTTATTTGAGACGACCTCGAAACCTGACACAAGGGATGATTTACCTGCTGCTGGTGTTGTTGCTGGTGCAGCTGCTGGAGCTTGTGGTGCTGTTGACCAGATGACTGCAAAGAAAGGTATTTATTTATTTATTTATTTAAATTTTTATTTATCGCCCTTCTCCAGAAGGACTCAGGGCGGTGTACAGCCACAATAAAACAATGTATCTCCACAAAATTTAAAAAACAGTTTAAAACATATTAAATACTTTGGCCCTTGTATTAAAAAACTAAAAACACCCAATTAAAATTAGTTTTCTAAGCCAGCCCAGCCTGTTGAAACAATAGAGTCTTAAGGGCACGGCGAAAGGTACGTAGGTCGGGGATCATACTTATCTCTGGGGGCAATTCATTCCAGAGGGCAGGTGCCCCCACAGAGAAGGCTTTCCCCCTGGGTGTCGCCAGTCGACATTGTTTGACCGATGGCACCCTGAGGAGTCCCTCTCTGTGGGAGCATATTGGCCAGTGGGAGGCTATCGGCGGCAGAAGGCGATCTCGTACCTACCCATATGATATGGTAAATATGAGCCTTTCAACCCCACCCATCCTGTCAGAACTAATTTCTGATTTTTAACTAATTTCTCATTTGACACATTTCCCTGAGATGCTAGGAGTCACTGCTTAAGTCCCCTGCAGATAGAAATAATTTCCTGCATGCCTTCTAAAAAATTTTAAGCACGGGTAGAAAGATGAGATCCAAACAATATATTGAGACATTCCTGAACCTATAGGCTAGGATGTCAGCCAAGATTTAAGTAAAAGGAGAAGAGTCAGTGCATGTTAAAGCATAGTCACAATTGTGACCCTGAAGAGCAACTTGAGTCTTATCTTGGTTTTACCAGGCGTTTCCGGTTTCTTTGCAGCTTGGGCATCGGCTGTTTGCTTTGCTGGTGCTCCTGGTGTAGTTGCTGAAGGTTGTGGTTCCGTTGGTTTTGGTGTTGGTTGAGTTGTTAAAGGGGCTGCCGCAGGAGGAACAGTGGGAGCTCCTTTTTAGATAGATGGATATATAGAGAGATAGTTAGATTAAATTTATAAAGAAAAATTCCAACCCACAAAGACAAAACAAGGAAAGCCATTATCTTCAATTAAGTAACAAAGGATGACTTACCCGGTGCTGGCTTGGCTGCTGCTGCACCTGCTGGCGCTTGTGGTGCTGTTGTCGGTTTTGCCGCTGGCTCAGTCTTTAAAGGGGCCGCCGCAGGAGGAACGGCGGGACCTGCTGAATTATTTTTTAAAAAATATAGACATTAAAAACACAAAGAAAAACAACAATCCACAAGAAAACAAGGATAGATGTTATCTTGTATAAGTAATTGAGAAGGGATGATTTACCAGGAGCTGCAGGACTGGCTGCTGTTGTTGGTTGTGGAGCTGTTTGACGTTTTCATTTCCAAGGAGATTTGCCATAAGATATAATACAAGAAAAAAATATTAGGACTTGTATATTGAAGCTTGACAAAAGAACAAACAAGGAAAGCTGTTATCTTCATTTAAGTAACAAGGTGTCAGCACTTCAAGCTGCATTTACTCTAGTGCTGACATAAGAAGGAGAAGCGGAGGTGTCTGGAAAGGGACATTTGACTTTTCACCTACTTATTTTCCCTGGAGATAATATTTTCTCTGGAGATAATATCCCCTAGGAGATCGGAAGGGAGGGGGGAAATTCCTTTGAGCTGGAGCAGTAGATTAGGGGTAGAGTGACTTGGAAGATGGCCAATGAGTGCAGAGGGTGGGGAAAGGAAAGGGAGGGTTTGGGTCAGGAAGTCAGTGTTGGCTATGATGGAGTCGGAGTTGGAGTTTTTCATCAAAGACTTTGTTTGAAATGCAATTTATTTGAGACGACCTCGAAACCTGACACAAGGGATGATTTACCTGCTGCTGGTGTTGTTGCTGGTGCAGCTGCTGGAGCTTGTGGTGCTGTTGTCGGTTTTGGTGTTGGTTGAGTTGTTGAAGGGGCTGCCGCAGGAGGAACGGTGGGGGCTGATAGATAGATAGATAGATAGATAGATAGATAGATAGATAGATAGATAGATAGATGGATGGACAGATAGATACATGGATAGATAATAAATGATGAGATAGATACATGATAGATAGAAGATAAATAATGATTAGATAGGTAGGTAGGTAGGTAGGTAGATATAATTAGATTTTAAAAATAAAAAGAACAACCCACAAAGAAAAAACAAGGAAAGCTGTTATCTTCATTTAAGTAACAAGGAATGACTTACCCGTGCTGGTGTTGTTGCTGGTGCAGCTGCTGGAGCTTGTGGTGCTGTTGTCGGTTTTGGTGTTGGTTGAGTTGTTGAAGGAGCTGCCGCAGGAGGAACGGTGGGGGCAGATAGATAGATAGATAGATAGATAGATAGATAGATAGATAGATAGATAGATAGCGGACAGATAGATGCATGGATAGATAATAAATGATGAGATAGATACATGATAGATAGAAGATAAATAATGATTAGATAGGTAGTAGATATAATTAGATTTTAAAATAAAAAGAACAACCCACAAAGAAAAACTGTTATCTTCATTTAGTAACAAGGAATGACTTACCCGGTGCTGGTGTTGTTGCTGGTGCAGCTGCTGGCGCTTCTGGTGCTGTTGTCGGTTTTGCTGCTGGCTCAGTCTTTAAAGGGGCCGCCGCAGGAGGAACGGTGGGGGCTGATAGATAGATAGACGATAGAGATAGATAGATAGATAATAAATGATGAGATAGATAGGTACTTGATAGATAGAAGATAAATAATGATTATATAGATATATTAGATATAGATAGATAGATATAATTAGATTAAGAAAAATAAAAATAACAACCCACAAAATAAAAAATAAAAACAAGGAAAGCTGTTATCTTCATTTAAGTAACAAGGGATGACTTACCCGGTGTTGGCGTTGTTGCTGGTGCAGCTGCTGGAGCTTGTGGTTCTGTTGTCGGTTTTGGTGCTGGCTGAGTCGTTAAAGGGGCTGCCGCAGGAGGAACGGTGGGGGCTGCTGAATTGTTTTGTTTTTTTAAAAAAAAAATAGACATTAAAAACACACAGAAAAACAACAACCTCCAAGAAACAAAAAGGAAAGCTGTTTTCTGTAAGTAACTGATAAGAGATGACTTACCAGGAGCTTGGGGACTGACCGCTGCTGTTGGTTGTGGAGCTATTTAATTTTTCGTTTCCAAGGGCAGAAGAAATAATACAAGAAAAAAAAATATTAGGACTTGTATATTAAAACGTGACCAACCCCTCCCCCAAAGGAAGAGTCTTATCTTCAATTAGGTGACTTAGCAATAACACTTAGACTTATATACCGCTTTACAGTGCTTGACAGCCCTCTCTAAGCGGTTTACAGGGTCAGCATATGGCCCCCAACAATTTGGGTCCTCAATTTATCCACCCCGGAAGGACGGAAGGCTGAGTCGACCTTGAGCCGATCAGGATCGAACTGTTGACAGTCGGCAGAATTAGCTTGCAATACTGCATTCTAACTACTGCGCCATCACGACTTACCCGGTACTTGCGTTGTTGCTGGAGCAACCCCTGGAACTTGTGGTTCTGTGGTTGGTTTTGGTGCTGGCTGAGTTGTTAAAGGGGCCGCTGCAGGAGGAATGGTGGGACCTGCTGAATTGTTTTTTAAAAGAAAGTATAGATATTAAAAAAAGGAGGAAATGCTAAAGTGGAGAGTTTTTAAAGAAGATGATGTTAAGTATTATTGAGAATAGAATAGAATAGAATAGAATAGAATAGAATAGAATAGAATAGAATAGAATTCTTTATTGGCCAAGTGTGATTGGACACACAAGGAATTTGTCTTGGTGCATAGGCTCTCAGTGTACATAAAACAAAAGATACATTCGTCAAGAATCATAAGGTACAACACTTAATGATAGTCATAGGGTACAAATAATCAGGAAACAATATCAATATAAATCGTAAGGATACAAGCAACAAAATTACAGTCATACAGTCATAAGTGGGAGGAGATGGGTGATGGGAACCATGAGAAGATTAATAGTAGTGCAGACTTAGTAACTAGTTTGACAGTGTTGAGGGAATTATTTGTTTAGCAGAGTGATGGCGTTGGGGAAAAAACTGTTCTTGTGTCTAGTTGTTCTGGTGTGCAGTGCTCTATAGCGTCGTTTTGAGGATAGGAGTTGAAACAGTTTATGTCCAGGATGTGAGGGGTCTGTAGATATTTTCACAGCTCTCTTTTTGACTCGATATATTATATTATCATATTATTCAATATTATTCAATATTACAGTGATGAACACAACCAATATGTGTTTCATGATTGTTTAAAAATAACCGTACCCAGACCACACACTGTTTGATGAAAATTGAATGTTATATAAATAAAACATTGAAAAAAAAACAAAACACAAAGGAAAACAACTCACAAAGAAACAAAAAGAAAAGATGTTATTATCTGATAGAGGTTTTTTTTTTTTTTTTACCAGGAGCTTGGGGACTGACTGCTGTTACTGGTTGTGGAGCTGTTTGAAGTTTTCATTTCCAAGGAGATTTGCCATAAGAAATAATACAAGAAAAAAATATTAGGACTTGTATATTGAAGCTCGAAAAAGGGGGAGGGAAAGGAGGGGGAGCAGAAATAATGATACTGAGATTATATTTTGCTTTTCAATATTTCTGTATTAAGACTGAAAAATTCAGTCAATTTGGAGTGTGATAATCCCCATCCCACCTTGCAATTTAACTTCCTGTTGAGGCCATGATAGTTCTGGATCAGTGGTTCTCAACCTGTGGGTCGGGACCCCTTTGGGGGTCAAATGACCCTTTCACAGGGGTCGCCTAAGACCATCGGAAAACACATATTTTCAATAGTTTTAGGAATAATTTTATGGTTGGGGGTCACCACAACATGAGGAACTGTATTAAAGGGTCACGGCATTAGGAAGGTTGAGAACCACTGTTCTGGATGGACTTCTTGTCTGCAGGCTGATCACTTACAGATTGGGGAGGAACATTTTATTTATTTATTTATTTTTTAAATTTTTATACCGCCCCCTCGCCCGAAGGACTCGGGGCGGTGAACAGCCAAAATTAAAAACACACAATACAAACATTAAAATACTATAAAACGAAATTAAATTTATCTTTGGCTTCCCCAGTTTAAAACCCCTTACCCATAAAATTCCCCAATTAAAAGATTTTTAACCCAGCCCGGCTTGCTGAAATAAAAAAAGTCTTCAGGGCCCGGCGGAAGCTCCGGAGGTCCGGGATCAGTCGTATCCCTGGGGGTAGCTCATTCCAGAGGGTGGGTGCCCCCACAGAGAAGGCTCTTCCCCGGGGGGGTTGCCAGCCGATATTGCCTGACCGACGGCAACCTGAGGAGGCCCTCTCTGTGGGAGCGTATTGGCCGGTGGGAGGTTATCAGTGGCAGATAACCTCTCACATTTGCATCACTCACAATAATTGCAGATGAGAAACTGCAAGTGGTTATAAATCATTTGTGTTACAAAACCTCAATAGCCCCATTTATTCATAAAACAGTATGTAAGGTGTGACCCCCATCAGCCCCCATGCAATCCCATCCAGTACCACAAAGTCGTGCTCCCTGAAATGTGTTGGCAAATAGACAATTTAGTTGATACTATTTTTTTAAAAAAGAAATGTAATTCGGAACGAACATGGTAGAAAGAAATCAATTCCAGCCTATTTCATGGCATATTTTAGATACAGATTGAGGCTTATCAACTACTAGGATGCCTCTGGGAAAGAGCCTGTCTCTGTTTCATTTTTAAATCTCACAAAACTCTCTTAAAGGCCGCAAACTTGCCTGAAAGTGGTGTATTGGGAGCATTTGGAGTGAAGGTTGGTGGTGAAAGAAAGTAGGATTGGGAATGGTTTTCATTTCAGAAGTTTCTGCTTCTATTTCACTCTTAGCCTTCTCCACAAAATAAATGAAAATGTTCTACCATGTTTCTCCAAAAATAAGACCGTCTTATATTTTTCTGAACCCCGAAATAAGCTCTTGGTCTTATTTTTGGGGAGGCTCCTCTTGCCATCTTACCTGATTTCCAAGTCTGCGTTTAAATATTTTTGGGGAGGGCTTATTTTAGTGCATGCGCTCAAAAGCCTGAAAATAAGACATCCCCTGATAATAAGCGATTGGGCTTATTATCAGGGGATGTCTTATTTTCCAGGAAACAGGGTAGTAGCATCATCACAATCATCAGATGGCTTATTGGGACCCAACAGAAGGTTGGCAGGCTGAACGGAGATCTACAAGTCAGCAAATGTTGCCCATCCAATCTTATGAGGCTGACATCCCTCAGGAGGTACCAACCATCATTGACTAGGTTCTCCCTAGAACAGGGGTATCAAAGTCGCATTGTCACAGTGGCATCACGTGATGTATCATGACATTTACTAAACCGGGTGGGGGTGTGGCCAGCACATGATGCAACTGGGCCGCGGGCCGCAAGTTTGACAGCCCTGCCTTAGAAATTCTGTTTTCAATGATGGTAATTATTTCCTGTGTCCCTTCTACACCTTCAGGGATGTGAAAGGATGAGACCAAAATACCCACACCAGAAGTTCTTCAACCTATCAGCTGGGGAGTCAGCCGACGTCTAAGAAACAGCAGAAAAACGAGTGTGTATTAAGGCATCTGTGTCATTAAGGGCAGCTAGAGTGCCCCATGAGGAGCGGTCTGCATTTTATCTTGGTTTTACCAGGGGTTTCTGGTTTCTTGTCTTTTTCACCTTGGGTATCCACTGCTTGCTTTGCTGGTGTTGCTGGTGCAGTCGCCGGAGGTTGTGGTGCTGTGGTCGGTTTTGCTGTTGGTTCAGTTGTTAAAGGGGCTGCCGCAGGAGCAGTGGTAGGAGCAGATAGATAGATAGATAGATAGATAGATAGATAGATAGATAGATAGATAGATAGAAGATAAATAATGATTAGATAGATAGATAGATACATACATACATACATACATCATAGATAGAAGATAAATAATGATTAGATAGATAGATAAATAGATAGATAGAAGATAAATAATTAGATCGATAGATCGATCGATAGATAGAAGATAAATAATGATTAGATAGATAGATAGATAATTAGATAGATAGATAGATAGATAGATACATACATACATCATAGATAGAAGATAAATAATGATTAGATAGATAGATAGATAGATAGATAGAAGATAAATAATTAGACAGATAGATACATACATACACACATACATACATGATAGATAGAAGATAAATATTGATTAGATAGATAGATACATGATAGATAGAAGATAAATAATAATTAGATAAATAGTTAGATAGAAGATAAATAATTAGATAGATAGATAGATAGATAGATAGATAGATAGATAGATACATGATAGAAGATAAATAATGATTAGATAGATAGATACATGATAGATAGAAGATAAATAATGATTAGATAGATAGATAGATAGATAGATAGATAGATAGTTAGATAGATGATAGATATAATTAGATTTAAAAAAAATAAAAATAACAACCCACAAAGAAAAAACAAGGAAAGCAGTTATCTTCAATTAAGTAACAAAGGGTGACTTACCCGGTGCTGGCGTTGTTGCTGGTGCAGCTGCTGGCGCTTGTGGTGCTGTTGTCGGTTTTGCTGCTGGCTCCGTCTTTAAAGGGGCTGCCGCAGGAGGAACGGTAGGACCAGCTGATTTTTTTAAAAAAATATAGACATTAAAAATACAAAGGAAAACAGCAACCCACCAAGAAACAAAAAGGAAAGATGTTAACTCTAATTATCTGATAAGGGGTGATTTACCAGGAGCCTGGGGAGTGACTGCTGTTGCGGGTTGTGGAGCTGTTTGAGGTTTTCATTTCCAAGGGAATTTGCCAGAAGAAATAATATAAGAAAAAAAATATTAGAACTTGTATATTGAAGCTTGAAAGGATATTTTGTTTTTTAATATTTTTGTAGTAAGATTGAAAAATTCAACCAATTTGGAAGGCGAAAATCCTCATCTCAAACAATTTCCGAACAAGGAAATGTTATCTTCAATTAAGTAATAAGGGGTGATTTACTAGGAGTCTTGGGACTGTTGTTCAGCTGTTTCAGTGGGTTCCCAAGAAACTTTGCCAAATTTTACTGGTACAAGAAAAAATATTAAGCCATAAATATTGAAAGTTAATAGGAGAGAGAACAAAGCAATAGTAATGAAACTCAAATTGTATTCTACTTTTCAAGATTTCTGTAATAAGACTTAACAATTCTTGCTGAAAGAATTTGCTTTTCAAAATGAAATGGACAGCATATAAATTTAACAAATAAATAAATTCGGATCCTTTGGACCTTCCAAAAACTCATATCACCTTGAGCTTTACTCTCTGGTTGAGGCTGAGATGGGGCTGGAGTGGACTTCTGGTCTCCAGGCTTATCACTTACAGGTTGGGGAGGGGCTTTTGCATCACTCACAGTAGCTGAAGATGAGAAATTGCAAAGGGTTGGAAGATGCAAAATTTACAAATCATTTGCATTGCAAACCAGAAACAAACAATGGCCCAAATTATTCATAAAACAACATGTAAGCGTGGTCTCCATCACTTCATGTGCAATCCAACCCAACATCACAAAGTTATGCCCTGGAAATATGTTGGCAAATAGACAATTGTGTTGATATGATTTTTTTTTTAAATAAAAAAGTGTAATTCAAAATAGGCATGCCAGAAGGAAACAAATTTCAGCCCATTTCATGGTATATTTTGGACAGGAACTGAGGAATACCAGCAATTAGGATATCTCTGGGAAAGAGCTTGCCTCCATTTCATACTTAATAGCGCTAGCAACAGCACTTATATACGATTCCATAGTATTTTATAGCACTCTCTGAGCAGTTTACAGAGTCAGCACATTGCCCCCAACAATCTGGGTCCTCATTTTACTGACTTCGAAAGGATGGAAGGCTGAGTCAACCTTGAGCTGATCAGGATTGAACTGTTGGCTATGGGCAGAGTTTGCCTGCACTACTGCATTCTAACTACTGCACCACCAGGGCTCCTTAACTGTCACAAAACTCTCTTAAAGGCCTTAGACCTGCCTGGAAGTGGTATTTTGAGAGCATTTGAAGTGGAGATTGTAGGACTGGTTTTCATACCAGGAGTCACCTGCGCCTATTTTCACTCTTAACCACCTCCACAAAATTATCGCAAATCTTCATTCCAACCTATCCTTGTGGTATCATCAGATGATTGGATGGTTTACTGGAACCATCCAGAAGACTTATAGATGGAACTGAGATCCGCAAACCCGCAAATGTTGCTTATACTGTTACATGGGTGTGAAATGTTTTCCTGAGATTATAGGCAACACTGTTTAAGTCTCCATATAAAAACTACTTCCGCTGTATTTCTACTTCTTTTTAAACAACTGTAGAGGGCTGACAATCAAATACCCGCCTCAGATGTTTTTTGAGTTGTTGGCTAGGATGTTGGCCAAGATTAAAGCAAAAGCAGAAGAGTTAATCTATGTTAATACATGGTCATCCCAGTAGTGGGTTGCCCCTGGTTCACACCGGTTCTATAGAACCGGTAGTAAAACCGGCGGGAGGCTCCGCCCACCGACCCTGACATCACTAAAATGGTTCTGCGCATGTGCAGAAGCTTCTGCGCATGCGCAGAACAGCGTGCACATGGCCCCGCTGCAAACCGGTAGTAAAGGTAAGTAGAACCCACCCCTGGGTCATCCCAGGGGTGGGATTCAGCCAGTTCACACCTATTCAGGGGACCAGGTTGTTAACTTTCTAAGCAGTTCAGAGAACCGGTTGTTGGAAAAAATATCTCCTTTTGTTTTTTTCCACTTTACAGGGCTAATCCTGTAAGGAAGACAAGAAGGAAACATTCTGGTGTTGTTTCTAGCCTAATCTTTATAGCCCTGCTTACAGAAACTGCCTCTGTGGTTAACCCTTATTACATTGTAACAGCTAAGGCGAAGCGCCCATCGACATTAGTGACGTTGAGTTGGCCATGCCCACACGGTCACATGACCACTGAGCCACACCTACCCAGCTGGTCATTAGGGCAGAGAACCGGTTGTTAAATTATTTGAATCCCACCATTGGATCATCCTTATGGGTATCCAGAATGCCCCTGGCATGCAATTTGAATTCTGTGTCATTAAGGGCAGCTAGAATGCCCCTGAAGAGCAATCTGAATTTTATCTTGGTTTTACCAGGAGTTTCTGGTTTCTTGTCCTTTGCAACTTGGGCATCTGTTCCTTGCTTTGCTGCGGGTGTAACCCCTGGAGTTTGTGGTTCTGTTGTTGGTTTTGGTACTGGCTCAGTCGTTAAAGGGACCACTGCAGGAGGAATGGTGGGACCTGCTTTTTTTTTTTTTAAAAAAATTGACATTAAAAACACACAAAAATAAAACAATGCACAAAGAATAAAGAAAAGAAAAGATGTTATGTCTAATTAACCGATAAGAGGTTATTTACCAGGAGCCTGGGGACTGACTGCTGTTGCAGGTTGTGGAGCTGTTTGAGATTTTCATTTCCAAGGGAATTTACCAGAAGAAATAATAGAAGAAAACAAAATTAGGACTTGCGTGTTGAAACTTGCAAAGAGAGGTAAACATGAAAAATGTAATGATTCTGAAACGGCATTCTGCTTTTCAAGATTTCTATAGTAAGGCTGAAAATGCAGACAATTTGGAACATCAAGATTTCCCAACCCAGCTTGCATTTTTTTAAACTTCCTGTTGAGGCTGCGATGGTTCTGGAGTGGACTTCTTGCCTTCAGGTTGATCAATTATAAGTTTGGGAGGGACCAGGAGACTTTGGTGCTTTCTGAGCTTGATTGTTTTCTTGTAGATATTTCATTGCCAAACTAGGTAACTTCATCAGTGCTAGTAAGAAGTAGGGCCATGATGGTGAACCTATGGCACGCGTGCCACCTGTGGAGCCATATCAGTGGGCATGCGAGCTCAGCTCTGGTACGTATGTGTGCGCCGGCCAGCTGATTTTCAGGCCTTCTGTGCCCACCAGAAGTAGGGAAACAGACTGTTTCCTGCCTCCGAAGGGCCTGGGAGGATGAGGAAGGCCTATTCTTTGCTCTTCCTGGGCTCCAGGGCCTTTCTAGGAGCCTGAAAAGGGTGAAAACGGCCTCCCCACCCCCCAGGGAGGCCCTCCGGAGGCCAGAAATGGCCCATTTGCTGACTTCCAGTCCCACCGGAAGTTGGTAAATGGGCCATTTCCCAACTTCCGGTGGGACCGGAAATCAGCAAATGGGCCGTTTCCGGCCTCCAGAGGGCCTCTGGGGGTGGGGGGGGGGGAAGGTCATTTTCACCTTCGCCAAGCTCCTAGAAAGCTCTGGAGCCTGGGGAGGGGGAAAAATGGGCCTACTGGGGGGAGCACAGGGAGACACGCACGCATGCGCGGGGCACATAGAATTATGGGTGTGGGTATGCGTGATCCACCCCACACTCCTCCCGCTTTTGTCACGTGATGGCAAAAAGGTTAGCCATCACTGAGATAGGGTGTGCTCTCATTTTATGTCCTGGTGACTCTGCCTGTCAGTGTTGCTGGAAATGTTCTTGGAAGTTCTTTGGTTGGGCTGGTTACTGTTAACTGGTCTGGCAGTTCCTTGATTAGGGTTCTCCAAAAACCCCCCATTTTAACCCTGAGCTAGAAATATTCTCCTTTACGGGGAGGGGCTTTTTCACGTGAATATGCAATTCACATGAAATATGGGTTCCCTTTTATTTTGTATATCAAATGGTGAAATTAGAACAATAGACTTCCTCATTAATAAATACATTAGGGAAGGAGATTTCTACAGGTAATCCTTGATTTACCACAGTTCAAAGTTACAACATCACTGAAACAAGTGACTTATGACCATGTTTCGCACTTATGACCATTTGCAGCAGCCCCATGATCACATCATCAAAATTCAGACAGTTGACAACTGACTCATGAAAGTTGCAATGAGCCGGGATCATGTGATCACCTTTTGCGACCTTCTGACAAGCAAAGTCAAGGGGTAAACCAGATTCACTTACCAACTGTGGCAAGAAAGGTCGCAAAATGGGGCAAAACTCACTTAACGACATAAATTTGGGGCTCAATTGTGGTTGTAAATCAAGGATTACCTGTATTTCATCCATACAGAAAAGATCTTAAAGGTTCCCCTTGCACATATGTGCTAGTCCTTCCCGACTCTAGGGGGCAGTGCTCATCTCTGTTTCAAAGCCGAAGAACCAGAGCTGTCCAAAGATGTCTCCATAGTCATGTGGCTGGCATGACTAAATCCCAAAGGCACATGGAATACTGTTATCTTCCCACCAAAGGTGGTCCTTATTTTTCTACTTGCATTTTTTATGTGCTTTCGAACTGCTAGGTTGGCAGAAGCTGGGACAAGTAACGGGAACTCATCCCGTAATGCGGCACTAGGGATTCGAACCGCTGAATTGCCAACCTTTCAATCAACAAGCTCAAAGTCTTAGCCACTGAGCCACCACGTCCCTGAAGAAAAGATCTTAGAGAGGTATAAAGGCTACTGTAGCTCTTCTCTCCTTTAGGAATTCTCTGACGTCAATTAGATATCACGCTGGGTCTCCATTCCTGCTTCCAAATGCTTTTAATATTGAATTGTTTTCTTCTGAGATTGTGTCTCTCATTGAGTGTCTGGCATTTACACAACAGCTAATGAATGAAGTGTGTCTGCATATAGTCGAAGACTCACATGGTTCTACTTTTTTCTCCAGATCACTGGGCCAAAAAAACTACTCACAATTTCCTTAAATCATGGGCTATATTTTGCTAAGATATTCGCCCACTTACAGTTCTAAAAATACTTTTTAGCAACAAAGTACTACTAATAGTAGTAAAAAATCTCTGGTCATCTGTAGTGATTCTCAGTCATCCAGATCATGATTGTCCCAAGGTGCTTTTTCAGGAGGCAATTGGACTTTTTGGTTTTTTCTTTGAGGATGTTTCGCCTATCATCCAAGAAGCTTCTTCAGCTCTGATTGGATGGTGGGGAATGGAAGGATTTATATTCCTTGCATACAGCTGGTCATTTGCATCCTTTTAGAGGGTCACTGAAGCGCTTGGAGGCTTATCATATACAGCACCCTTTGAATGGTGTGGGAGTACAAATGGATTTCCAGAGGGAAAAAAATTGCAGACTACAGGAACGAGGAACACTATTCAGAAGATCTTGACAACACAGATAAGCCTAAGTGCTTCAACAACCCTCTAAAACAGGGGTGTCAAACTTGTGGGCCGTCTGCCAGATGCGTCATGCACTGGCCACACCCATACCCAGTTTAGCGAAGGAGAAAAAGTCAGGGGTGAAATGCTCCCAGTTCGGAATGGCTTGGGCGAGAAGGTAGCGATGGCGGCGGGCAGTTCGGAGAACCGGTAGCAAAAATCCCTGCCCCCGCCCCCCATGCCCAGCTGAGCCGCGCAATCATCAGAGGCTTTTTTTCTTTTAAATGGCTCTGACGATCCAAGCTCTGACGATCCCAGCTGAGTTGCCTGATTGGCAGAGGGATTTTTAAAAGCCCTCCGATGATCAGGCAACTCTGCTGGGATCGTCAGAGCCTTTTGAAAGCATTTTTTACATGGTTTTACATGTAAAAAATGGTTTTAAAAGTAAAAAAAAAATTGGCCACGCCCACCCAGTCACATTACCCCCACCACCACCAAACCATGCTCACAGAACCAGTAGTAACAAATTTTAGATTTCACCACTGGAAAAAGTCCTGATATGTCACATTACGCCACCATGACAACGTGAGTTTGACATCCCTTTTCTTTTCCTTTTAGTATTTTTAGTTTCTCCAAATTCAGTTTTAAATCCAGTTATAACATTTCCTTTCTTGGGCTTTAATATTTTAACCTCGTCTTTGTTCTTCCTTCAAGCATCAAAACTGTCAAAGATATTTCAAATCCTCATAAAAAGTACTTTCCCTCGGGTTTCTTTTTCTTATATTAATTTTAATTTCTCCAAATCCAATTTTAAATCCAGTTATAAAGGTTTTTTTCTTGGGCTTTGGTACTTTAACCACCTCTTTATTCTTCTCCCGCCATTAAAATTCCCAAGTGCCAATTAGCTGCTCATTTCCACTCCGGGACACCTTTGAAGTTTTTTTTTTTTAAATTTCCTTTTTTACTTGTGAGTTGGCCAATCACTCACCCAGTACCAGCACTCCATTCAAATACCGCTCCTGCACAAAAATCTTACTCTGGTTGCCCCAGCTTCAGAGCAGTCATTTTTTAAAGGCCACCACTCTTGCCACCGGTTCAAAGAGCAGCCTCTGACCTTTCAAGGAACTTGCCTATTCGTCTTGGTCATCCGAGGCACCTCTCCTTCTCACCATCCCTACAGGACAGTTCTGGTCCAAAGACCCACCGACAGCGGTTTGTCCGGCTGGATTTTCATAGAGCTCATCGGAGCCCGTTATTTTTCCACCCAATCTCGTCGCAATACTTCCGGTTTCTGACACCCCTTTTCTAAAAGGGTGCAAATGACCAGCTGGCTGCAAGGAATATAAATCCTTCCATTCCCCACTATCCTGCCAGAGATGAAGAAGCTTCTTGGATGAGAAGCAAAACGTCCTCAAAGAAAAAACCAAAAAGTCCAGTTGCCTCCTGAAAAAGCACCTTGGGACTCTGGTCATGTAGAATGCCTACATTGTGACAATTGACTATTCTTTTACCAGGTTTTTCGGGTTCCTTTGATGTTGTAAGTTCCATAGACTGTTTTGTTTTGCTTTAGTATCTTGTGGTGGTTTACCTTTTGTTGCTGCTGGTTCGGTTTTGGGAGGGCCTGCCTCAAAAGTAACAGTCCGGACTGGGATTTTGGGGGGGAAAATAAACATTATTTAGATACACTCATATATCTTTATTTTCTGGGAAAGCTTGCTATAACTTTGTAACATACAATCTATTGAAAAATGTGTTTAAATTACAATTGAAACCAGAATACTATCTATTAAATATTAGGCCAGATAAGATAGGCACGAATATATGGTGTTTGATTACATATATCACAACCGCAGCAAGAATATGTTTTGCTCAACATTGGAAGGGGAAAGACCTACCGGCTGAAGATTTGATTCTGGGAAAAATTATTGAATATGCGGAAGCTGACAGGTTAACAAAAATTTTGAGAGATCAAAAGGACTCTGTATATTTTCAATGCTTGGACCAATGGTATACTTGGTTGAATAATAAAATAAAAAAAGGATAAGGTTAGTGTAGATTTTATTTTTTATTTGTATATCTTGACTGAAGTTAATATATTCTGTAAAGCTCCCGTCGCGATCTGTGTGTGAATAAATATTTTGTTGTAAAGAAATAAATAAAATTTTAAAAAGAAAAAGAAAAATGTGTTTAAAAATTATGAAAGGAAACCCATAGAAAGAAAAGCTAACATGCATATATATAAATCTTAAGGAAAATTAATAAGGAGTAATCTTCCCTAGGAACACACTGTTTTTACCTTTAACAGTGGATAATTCTGGAGTGGAGGATCTAGTGTTCTAGTTATCCTTTTTTTTTTCTTTTAAAACATTCAATAGAAGTTACATCTGAGCAAGTACACTGCACAAAAGGTTCATCTGCAAATTAGCTGACATTTATTACTTTGCATTGGGATGGACAAGGTTTTGGGGACAAAGGATGCAGCTTGCTTTCGGATAATATGCTGAACGTTATGCTTTCAGGCTGAGATAATAACAGTAAGAGAGTTGGAAGGGACCTTGGAGGTCATCTAGTCCCGTGATGGCGAACCTATGGCACGTGTGGCACGCGGAGCCATATCAGTGGGCACACAAGCTCAGCTCCGGCACACTGATTTTCAGGCCTTCTGGGCCCACCAGTCGGCAAACAGGCCATTTCCAGCCTCCGGAGGACCTCCCGGGGGAGGGGTGGGGAAGGTTGTTTTTGCCCTCCCCAGGCTCCTAGAAAGTTTCTGGAGCTGGGGGGGAGTGAAAAACGGGTCTACTGTGCCAACTGTGCCATCATGTGCCAAAAGCAGGGGGAGTATGAGGGGGGTCACACGCACATGCGTGGGGGGGCAGGACACATAAAATTATGGGTGTCGGCATGCATACGCGTGACCCCCCCATGCTCCCCCTGCTTTTGGCATGCAACGGCAAAAAGGTTAGCCATCACTGATCTAGTCCAACCCCCTGCTCACGCAGGAGACTTATACTAGGGATTTGAACCGCCGAACTGCCGACCTTTCTCACCGACAAGCTCAGCATCTTAGCCACTGAGCCACCTAGCCAGGCTAGGACAACTGGTTTTTTTAAAAGTTGGCTGATATTTCAATGCAATTAGATGAGGAGACTTCCTGATAGAGGTAATGCCTGACTTACAACCACAATTCAAACCAGAAGTTCCATTACTCACTGAGCAAGAAAGTTCTTAAGTGAGTCACGCCTGACTTTATGATCTTTTTTGCCATAGTCATTAAACAAAACCACTGCAGTTGTTAAGTGAATCATATAGCTGTAAACAAATCCAGCTTCCTCTATTGACTTTGTATGTTTGGAAACTGGCTGGGAAGGTTACAAACGGTGATCACATGTTCACATGACAGATTACATACAAATACATACCCATTGCCAGTGCCAGAATTTGGATCACATGACCATGGGGAGGTTGCAATGGTTGTAAGTGCAAGGACTTTTTTTTCAGCGCCGTGGGAACTTCAAATGGAACTAAACTAATGGTTGCATGTCAAAGGACTACCTGTCACAATTTGCCTTGGGATACAACATTTTATAATCTGGCACCTGATGTTGGACGGGGGCGTGGAAGCAGTAAGACTGCGTCTGGGAGTCCTTTGTGGCTCAGGAAGCACAAATTATATTCTGTATAACCTTATGTCACAAGCTTATTTACAGTGAGGCTGAAGAGTAACTTGAATTTTATCTTGGTTTTACCAGAGGCTTCGCGCTTGGCAGCTTGGGCATCTGCTGTTTGCTTTGCTGGTGTTGCTGGTGCAGAAGGTTGTGGTTCTGTTGTTGGTTTGGGCGTTGGTTCAGCTGGGGCTGCTTTTTAGACAGAGATAGAGATAGAGATAGAGATAGAGATAGATAGATAGAGGATAGATAGATAGATAGATAGATAGATAGATAGATAGATAGATAGATAGATAGATAGATATAGATGAGAGAGAGAATGTTATAGATAGATAGATAGATAGATATAGATGAGAAAATATTATAAATAGATAGATAGATAGATAGATATAGATGAGAGAGAGAGAATGTGATTAGATAGATAGATAGACAGACAGACAGATAGATATAGATGAGAGAGAATGTGATAGATAGATAGATAGATAGATAGATAGATAGATAGATAGATAGATAGATAGATAGATAGATAGATAGAAATAGATGAGAGACAGAGAGAGAGAGGGGGGGGGGGGGGGGGAGAGGGAGGGAGGAGAGGGATATATATATATATAATAGTGATAGAGATAAATAAGAGAGACAGAGACAGAGACAGAGAGATGATAGAGAGAGTGATAGACATAGTTAGATAGGAGAGAGAGAAAGATAGTTAGATTAAACGTATAAAGAAAAATTACAACCCACAAAGACAAAACAAGGAAAGCCATTATCTTCAATTAAGTAACAAAGGGTGACTTACCGTTGCTGGCGTTGTTGCTGGTGCAGCTGCTGGCGCTTGTGGTGCTGTTGTCGGTTTTGCTGCTGGCTCAGTCTTTAAAGGGGCCGCCGCAGGAGGAACGGTAGGACCTGCTGAATTATTTTTTTAAAAGTATAGACTTTAAAAACACAAAGAAAAAACAACAATCCACAAGGAAACAATAAGGATAGATGTTATCTCTAATCATTTGATAAGGGATCATTTACCAGGAGCTGCGGGACTGGTTGCTATTACTGGTTGTGGAGCTGTTTGACGTTTTCATTTCCAAGGAGATTTGCCAGAAGATATAATAAAGAAAAAATATTAGGACTTGTATATAGAAACTTGACATAAAGAACAAACAAGGAAAGGTATTATCTTCAATTAAGTGAGAAAAGGTGATTTACCTGTTGCAGCTGCTGGAGCTTGTGGTTCTGGTGTCGGTTTTGATGCTGGCTGAGTCGTTAAAGGGGCCGCCGCAGGAGGACTGGTGGGACCCGCTGAATTTTAAAATATAATATATACATTAAACACACACACACACACACACACACACACACACACACACAACCAACAACCCACAAAGAAAAAAAGAAGAAAAAATGACATCTCTGAATGATAAGGAGATATTTACCAGGAGCCTGGGGACTGCTGGTTGTTACTGGTTGTTGAACTGAGTGAAGTTTTCATTTCCAAGGCAAATTTTCCAGAAGAAATAATGGAAGAAGAAAAATATATTAGGATGATAGAGATAAATAGATAAATGAAAAAAAAAAATGGAGAGACAGTTTGGTCTAGTGGTTAGGGCACCAGACTAGAAAGTGGAGATGGTGAGTTCGCTAGCCTTCAAAGCTATCTGGCTGACTTTTGGCCAGTCACACTCTCTCAGCCCAACCCACCTCACAGGACTGTTGTTGTAGGGAAAAATAGGAGGAAGAAGGTTTTTTGGATATGTTCCCCATCTTGAATTATTTGTATAAATAATATAGGTTGGATAGAAATAAATAAAATACATGTAAATATAGATACACAACAGAGAGAGAGAGAGAGAGAGAAAACACATAATACTAGCTGGACACCCATCCTTCGCTATGAAACTATGTGAGCGGGCTTGATAAATTGACACATAAAGCCTGAAACTTAATGTAGAATGTGTAACTCCGTAGCATCAGAGTGTCGTAATATAAGGCAACTGGCAGTTGGAACAGAGTTCCTTTCAGATGGGGAGGGGGAGTAGAACATCTAATTCCTTAGCATCAGAGCGTGTGAATATAATACTGTATATGAAATACTAATGATCTGATGGTCATTTTGAAAAATCCTTTCTTAGCGAGCACCTAGAAGCCAAGAGGAATGTACATGCCAAATTTCAAGTTTGTAGGCTTTACCATTCTGGAGATGGTAAATCTCCAGAATGGAGATGGAATGGAAATCTCATTCTGGAGATTTCATGATGAGTCTATGGTATTGGCTTCTCTATCTCTATCTCTATCTCTATCTCTATCTCTATCTCTATCTCTATCTCTATCTCTATCTATCTATCTATCTATCTATCTATCTATCTATCTATCTATCTATCTATCTATTATCATCTATCTAAAATTTAATTTCAGTTCCTTTGTTTTGTTTTCAAGTTTATATACTTGAAAAGAAAGGAAAGCAAAGGAAACATAATGAAACTGAAATTATACTCTGCCTTTCAAAATTTATGTAGTAAAACCAAGAATTCAGATAATTTGGAATGTCAAAATTCTCATCCACCTTGTACTTTAACTTCCGGTTGAGGCTGAGATGGTTCTGGAGTGGACTTCTTGTCTACAGGCTGAACACTTCCTGGCTGAGGAGGGACTTTTGCATCACTCACAATATCTGTAGATGAGAAAGTCCAAGCAGTGTGAGTAAACAGGGCTTATGAAGTGATTTATATTACAAGCAGGAACAATGAGACCATGTCCCAATGTATTTATTTTTCAGTAAAGCAATTTATGTGAAACTAAGTTCCTCTTTTATGTTTATATCAACTCGATTGCAGGAAATATGACTTCAGCAACAGAGTGGTCAATGCCTGGAATGCACTACCTGACTCTGTAGTTTCATCCCAAAACCTCACCCCATTCCTAAGAGGTCTGTAAGGGGCGTGCATAAGAGCACCAGCGTGCCTACCGTCCCTGTCCTAATGTTCCCTTTAATTGTATTCATTTTATGTATTCAATTTATGCTTATATATATTATCTAATATGTACTCGACAAATAAATAAATGTAAAAAAATTAGTTATAATGGTACAATTCCTTATTAACAGATTTCGCATGGATGAATTTTTTTGTTTTACATATCCCAAAAAGTTCTCAGATTGGGTTAACATGTCCTCCTTGTTCTCTTCATGATCTCCACCTGGAAAGCATAGCCTTAAAATCAAACCTTGTCCAGCTTTTTATGTATCTCTTTCTGAGCTGCTTTTCTCCATGGCACACTGCCTCCTAAAGAAGCACTAATGGAACCTCAAGTTAACAAGCTGTACTATGATCTTGATTAGTACTCTCTCACCAGCTTGCACTGATGCCTGAAATTGACGACCGTAATCAGTTACAAGGTTGAAGGCTTTTGCCCCTTAAATGATTCTGACACCTTTTTGTAATTGAAAAACCAATCTTTCTCATGCTGGAAAAAGTAATTTCATATAAGCCCATTCATGTAGACCCAAGTCATTATTGTCCTTTTTTCTCTCTCCCCTCTCTCTCCTCCTCCTCCTCCTCCTCCTCCTCCTCCTCCCAGTTTTACATTGTAATTTTTATTGCAGGTTCCAAGAAAATCAAATAATTAGTGTGTCCTCCTCCTCCTGCCCCCATTTGTGCTGTTTTCAAAATGTCCATGTCCTTTGTCTGTTCCGAAACCTGATAACTCAATTCTCAAAACGAGGGATCTCCAAACTTGGCCATTTTAAGTCTTGTGAATTTCAACTCCCGGAATTCCCAGCCAGCCGTTTTATATAGATTTCAGTACAGATCAGAGATGGGTTTCAGCAGGTTCTGACCAGTTCTGAGAACCGGTAGCGGAAATTTTGAGTAGTTTGGAGAACCGGTAGTAAAAATTCTGACTGGCCCCGCCCCATCTATTGTCTGCCTCCCAAGTCCCAGATGATCGAGAGGAAATGGGGATTTTGCAGTAACCTTCCTCTGGATTGGGGAGGGAATCGAGATTTTACAGTATCCTTCCACTGCCATACCCACAAAGCCACGCCACAAAGCCATGCCATGCCCACAAAGCCACACTCACAGAACGGTAGTAAAAATTTTTGAAACCCATCACTGGTACAGATAGTCCTTGAGCTACAACTGAGCCCAAAATTTCTGTTGCTAAGTGAGGCATTTGCAGGGGTGAAATGTAAAATGTGTTATTACCGGTCTGTGGGCATGACTTGGGGGGTGGGGGGGTTATGGAGGTGGGGGTGGGGGGGTGGGGGGGTTATTTGACTTTTGGGCGTGGAACTTCTCTTTTTTTTTTTAACTTTTTCAAAGCATTTTTTCTAATGCTTTGAAAAGCCTCTGGTGATCAGGCAACTCAGCTGGGATCGTCAGAGACTTTTCAAAGCATTTTTTTAACCACCTCTTCGGCCAAGAGGTTGCAGAAAAAAATGCTTTGAAAAGCCTCTGAGGATCCCAGCGAGCCTGAGATCATCATTTTTTTTTTTTACTTTTAAAAGCATTTTTTCGTCGGAAGAGGTTGTAGAAAAAATGCTTTTAAAAGTAAAAAAAAAAAGCCTCTGATGATTGTGCGACTCAGCTGAGCATGGTGGGGGGGGGGCACAGGGATTTTTCCTAGGTTCTCCGAACCACCCGCCTCCATCGCTCCTGGATTGGGCGATCCGGTCCGAACCGGGAGCATTTCACCCCTGGGCATTTGTTAAGTGAATCTTACCCCATTTTACTACCTTTCTTGTCACACTTGTTAAGTGAATCACTGCAGTTAAGTTAATAACACGCTTATTACATGAATCTTGCTTCCCCATTGACTTTGCTTGTCAGAAGGTCGCAGAAGAGATCCCATGACCTTGGGACACTGCAATTGTCATAAATAGGAGTCCATTGCGAAGCATCTGAATTTTGATCCCATGACCATGGGGATGCCGCAACAGTCGTAAGTGTCAAAAATGGTCGTAAGTCACCTTTTTCAGGGCAGTTGTAACCTCGAAAGGTCACTAAATGAACTGTTGTACTTCGAGGACTACCTGTACTGATGCATTTCTTTTTCCTTGTTTTGCAGGTATACACATCTAGCTTGGTGGGGATGTTGGAGACCTTGTCTGGACTTGCCTGGCACTGCTTCATTGCTTAAGTCATTTGGATTTCCAGATGTGCTTCTCCTCTAATATCTGGACCATTTGTTGTGCGGCAGGCCCAAAAGACTAATTAACTTCCTTTACGGATGGTATTTTGCTAATACGTTAGTCCATGTACATTTTTTAAAAAGATTTTTTACTAACCAAAGATTGGAAGTAAAAAAAAAAAAATCTCTGGCCAACTAGAATAGAATAGAATAGAATAGAATAGAATAGAATAGAATAGAATAGAATAGAATAGAATAGAATAGAATAGAATAGAATAGAATAGAATAACAGAGTTGGAAGGGACCTTGGAGGTCTTCTAGTCCAACCCCCTGCCAGGCAGGAAACCCTACACCACTTTAGACCAATGGGTATCCAACATCTTCTTAAAAACTTCCACTGTTGGAGTCTTCACAACTTCTGGAGGCAAGTTGTTCCACTGATTAATTGTTCTGCCAGGAAATTTCTCCTTAGTTCTAAGTTGCTTCTCTCCTTGATAAGTTTTCCACCCATTGCTTCGTGTCCTGCCCTCAGGTGCTTTGGAGAATAGCTTGACTCCCTCTTCTTTGTGGCAACCCCTGAGATTGGAACACTGCTGTCATGTCTCCCTAGTCTTCTTTTCATTAAACTAAACATACCCAGTTCCAACAAGCGTTCTTCATTTGTTTTTCCTCCAGTCCCCTAATCATCTTTGTTGCTCTTCTCTGCACTCTTTCTAGAGTCTCAACATCTTTTTTACATCGTGGTGACCAAAACTGAATGCAGTATTCCAAGTGTGGCCTGACCAAGGCATTATAAAGTGGTATTAACACTTCACGTGATCTTGATTCTGTTCTATTTATGCCTAGAACTGTGTTGGCTTTTTTGGCAGCTGCTGCACATGGTGGCTCATATCTAAATGGTTGTCCACTAGGACTTCAAGATCCCTCTCAGTTAATACTATTGAGCAAGGTATCACATCTGCTGTACCTGTGCATTTTGTTTTTCTTGCCTAAATATAGAACCTTACTTTTTTCCACCATTGAATTTCATTTTGTTAGATAGAATGTCCACATTGCGACAATTTACCATTCTTCTAGTTTTACCTGGTTTTTCGGGTTCCTTTGTCTTTGATGTTGGAAGGTCCACAGGTTGTTTTGTGGTTGTTTTAGCATCCGAAGATGGTGGCGGGCCTGGGACTTAGAAAAAAAAAACCCATATATTTTACATAAGCCAGTTTGATTCAGTGGTTAAGGTATCAGGCTAGAAACAGGAGACTGTGGGTTTACTTATTTATTTAAAATATTTACATAGCTACCCATCTTATACCAAACCCTGAGTGGGTCCCAATCAAGAATTAAAACAATATAAAAATCATATAAAAACTACCCTATATTCTATGTCAGGGCGTTGATTAATCCCATTCTGGCTATGAGATAATCGCGCCTGATTAGAGGAGTGGATCGAGACCTTTTTCCTTGTTGCATACTATCAAGAGCCTTGATAGTACAGTGGTTTAGTGCACCCTGTTATTAACACAGCTGCCTGCAATTTCTGCTGGTTCGAATCTCTCCAAGGCTCAAGGTTGACTCAGCCTTCCATCCTTTCTAAGGTAGGTGAAATGAGGACCCAGTTGTGGGGGCAATAAGCTGACTTTGTATAAAATATACAAAAGAATGAAGGCTATTGCTTAACGCATTGTAAGCCGCCCTGAGTCTCCGGAGAAGGGCGGCATATAAATCAAATTAAAAAAAAAAAAAGAAAAAAGAAAACAAACCCCGAAGAAAATATCTTCTAAGAAAACTCATTTATTTGTTATAAAGAAAATAAAACATCTCACTAACTAAGAAAAGTAATTGTTACATTTTTGCAAAAGTTCGTGCCGGCTATTTCTCAACGGACCTTTCTGGCAAGAGAACAAAGGAAAAAATGAGTGTGAAGGAATGTGGGTGGACATGCGCAGTTTAGCTTACTGATAACAATTCTTGGCAAGGTATGGAAAGTCTGATAGTCCAGAAAAGATGAGCTCAGCTGGTAAATAAAAGAACGCAGTGACATTCTAGTTGTGCCTTAGGTATGAAAGCTGGCCGGGTGACTTGGGTGAATCAGTCTTTCTCAGCCAACTACATCAGCTTGGACAAAAAACTGGTCAGTTGATTCCTATTGCAACCCACAGATTGATACTTGATTGACCTCAAAAAGAAGAGTAGACTCTACACTTGTGGGAAAACGCTAGGAAGAAAAAAAACACACCATATATCTATTTTCTAGAAAGTTTCTAGAACGCTGTAACAAGGCCAATTGGGAACAAAAATACTTAACAAATCTAGAAGAAACCCAAAGAAAACAATATCATTAATTGACTGTGTATATTGTATATTGGTCTTAAGGAAACTTTAATCTTTTCAAGACTGCTAATACTGAAGGATTCTGGAGCAGGGTCTACTGTATCGGTTTCACTTTTTTTCTTTAAAAAAAATCAATAGAGCTTACAGGATATCTGACTAAGTATATAAAAGTTTGGTCTGGAATTTAGCCAATATTTATTACTCGTCAACTTTAGTTTGTGATAGATCCGGACAAATGATTTTTTAAAGAATTAATTCACTTTTTTTTTAAAAAAATTTGATTTATATGCCGCCCTTCTCCGGAGACTCAGGGCGGCTTACAATGCGTTAAGCAATAGCCTTCATACTTTTGTATATTTATACAAAGTCAGCTTATTGCCCCCACAAACTGGGTCCTCATTTAACCTACCTTAGAAAGGATGGAAGGCTGAGTCAACCTTGAGCCTGGTAAGATTCGAACCTGCAGTAATTGCAGGCAGCTGTGTTAATAACAGGGTGCTTTAGACCACTGTACTACCAAGGCCCTTTCAGCGTAATTAGCCAGCATTATTACTCATTTCATAATTTGCCCTGCCGTATTTGAAATTATAATTTGTCACTTAGTGTTGCAGAAGGTGAGGTTTTGATCATTGATCATTTCTTTGGTTTTACCATGTTTTTCAGGTTCCTTTGTCTCCGAAGTTGGAGCGGCCGCCGGTTGTTTTGCTGTTGTTTTAGCATCTGTAGGTGGTGGAGCTGCACCCTCTTTTGGTGCTGGCTCAGTTTTTGGTGGGCCTGTTTCAACGGTAGCAGTGGGATCTGAAATTTTGGAAAAAAATAAATATGAAATGCCTCTTGCAGAAATTCATGCATTTTTGTTTGTTTGTTTCTGTGAAAGCTCGTAATAGCAGTAGCAATAGCGCTTAACACTTACATACCGCTTCACAGTGCTTTTACAGCCCTGTCTAAGCGGTTTACAGAGTCGGCATTTTGTCCCCAACAATCTGGGTCCTCGTTTTATCTTCCTTGGGGAGTGGTGCGATGGCCTAGAGCCGTGATGGCGAACCTATGGCACATGTGCAAAAGTGGGGGGAGGGCATAGGTGGTCACACGCGTGTGTGCCCCCTAGCTCAATGCTCTGTGCCCCAGCCAGCATGCACCAGGCCCCAGCACCACATTGGAGTCAGAACCCTGAAGCTCCGGTCTGGAAGGGCCTCCGACTTCTGTGGGGAAGGCCGTTTTTGCCCTCCCAGGCTCCAAGAAAGCCTCTGGAGCCTGGGGAGGGCAAAAAAACAGGCCTACTGGGGCCCACCGGCCATTGCTCTGAAAGCAGGGGGGAGCGTGGGGGGATCGCATGCACATGCATGGGAGGGCAGGGCGCATTGAATTATGAATGTGGCAGCGCGCTCTGGGCAACCCCTCGCGTTCCCCCACTTTCCGTGGCACCTGTGGCAGCAAAAAGGTTAGCCATCACTGGCCTAGAGGTAGAGCTCTCACCTCACAATCAGGAGGCTGTGAATTTGATCCTAGGTAGAGGCAGATATTTCTCTCTCTGGGCAAAATGAGAATATATATGCTGAACAAAACTCTGCATTGGTGACAGGAAGGGCATCTGGCCAGTAAACACTCTGCTAGCTCGATTCAGTTGCCCAGACTCCACCCCGCAAGGGATTATGTGGTAGGAAGGAGAAGGAGAAGAAGAAGATTTTATCTTCCTTGGAATGATGGAAGGATGAGTCAACCTTGAGCCGGTGAATTATTGAACTGTTGGCAGTCGGCAGAATTAGCCTGCAAATCTGCATTCTAGCCACTGCACCGCCATGGCTCATGGCAATCTCAATCTCACAAACAAACCAAACTTGTTAAATCCCTTAATCCCACTGAAAAGATTGTTTAACAAATTCTGAGGCTAAAACAGAACTCTAAAATACTGACTGTGTGTTTATGCATGTGAGTCTTGAAGGACAGATACTAAACATTTATATTATTAGGAAAAATCAACTACATCCAAAAAAATGGGATATATTACCCTTCTTTTTAGCATCGGAGGCCTGGAGTCGAAGTCTGCTTTACTGATTCCACTGTAGTCTGTTTTGAAAACATTTACAGTGACTGCAAATAAATATAGATGAGAAAACTGTTATGTTCTGCACACAAAAATGATATCAATTCCTAGGATCTGTGGAGACTGTCACGCACTGTGACCTGGAGAAATGCCAGAGAAAACAATTGTTTTGTCACTCCATGACATCAAGAGGAATAGAACCATCACGTTTCCTTGGTGGTTACATCTGGATTCAAGAGTTTCTGAGTTTTCTACACTGCAGAGCAAGAATTATGGAAAGTGCTGAAGAGGAGTGACTGTAACTTGGATGTGCTACTGTCTTTTGCAACCTTTTCAAAGATTGGTGCCTCTTCAAAAATTTTGCATAACTTATATGCATTTAATTCAATAAATTGAGAAGAATGTACATCTAATTAATGTTTTTAAATGTCAGGCTACAAATTAGTTATATGATAGACAGACAGACAGACAGACCGATAGATGGATGGATGGATGGATGGATGGATGGATGGATAGAAGATAGAAAGAATAGAATAGAATAGAATAGAATAGAATAGAATAGAATAGAATAGAATAGAATAGAATAGAATAGAATAGAATAGAATAGAATAGAAGTGTGATTGGACACACTAGGAATTTGTCTTGGTGCATACGCTCTCAGTGTACATAAAAGAAAAGATACATTTGTCGAGAATCATAAGGTACAACACTTAATGATAGTCATAGGGTACAAATAAGCAATCAAATTATATTAGGAAACAGTCAATATAAATCATAAGGATACAAGCAACAAGGTTACAGTCATGCAGTCATAAGTGGGAGGAGATGGGTTATAGGAACGATGAGAAGATTAATAGTAGTGCAGACTTAGTAAATAGATTATCTATCTATCTATCTATCTATCTATCTATCTATCTATCTATCTATCTATCTATCTATCTATCAGATTAGATAGATAGATAGGATAGATAGATAGATAGATAGATAGATAGATAGATAGATAGATATAGATACTGTGTTTCCCCCAAAATAAGACCCTGTCTTATATTTTTTTGAACCCTGAAATAAACGCTTGGCCCTATTTGTGGGGAGGTCTTATTATTTTGGGGTGTGTGGAGCAAGATGGGGATCCTCTTGCCATCGTACCTGATTTCCAGCTCTGTCTCCCTAACCCTAACCAGAGGAAATGGTGGGGACCGGCTGTGCATGCGGTTAAATATTTTGGGGGAGGACTTATTTTCAGGGGAGGGCTTTTTTTCAGGGAAACACAGTAGATAGATAGAATTTTGTACCTGGATAGGGAACTTTTTCACACTGAAAAGAGGCACTTGGACTTCAAACAATACTCTGGACATCATGCTTCAATGTATTGGATTAGAACAACTTGTTTTTTTTTTAATGGATTCACATCCAAATTTAGTTAGGTAAGGACAGTTAAGTAATTTCATAATTTGTAACTTCGTATTGCTAGGGCTGTGACAGTCACCAGGATGCTTGTGACTTTGGGGCCGCAGACTGTATCATTCTATTGTGTATTAAAATAATCTAATACATTTTTTTATTAATCATACATGTGAGGCATCAATGATGCTGTAGACCTAATCACAAAACCTCTTGAGGAACTTTTGGATATCATTCATGTTCCCTCTATAGCTCTTGATAGGGTAGCATGTCTCCTGTCATAAATGACTGAATACAATGCAATGCAATACAATACAAATTACAATCTTAATTTTAATTTTTCATTTTGAAAAAAAGATTGCCGAAAAGGTTGGCATTTCTGGCAAGTGCATCTCTTAAAATATTTGGGGAAACCAAATACAATAACACTGCTCCCATTGTTTCCGCTCCAAATTATAAGAATGTGGTATTTGTTTTGTCATATAGCAAGGCCTTTATACCTTTCCTTATTTTCTTAATTATGCTCAGTCAGAGTACAATGGAAACAATCCTACGTGATAAAGGTGAGAAAATAAATTATCTGTTTCGTTAAATAACGTTTCTTGATGCTTGGTTTTGAAAGAAGAAAAAACATTTCACACCGTCAGTGGGAATTCAGGGAGAGTCCCTGAAATCAGCAATTTGATTTAAGCCAGGGAAAAAAGGAATCCATTTCTTTTTAGAATAGAATAAAAGAGTTGGAAGGGACCTTGGAGGTCTTCTAGTCTAACCCCCTGCTTAGGCAGGAAACCCTACATCACTTCAGACAAACGGTTACCCAATCTCTTCTTAAAAACTTCCAGTGTTGGAGCATTCAGTATTATTCTGTGTTCTCTATTCTAGGGGTCTCCAACCTTGGCCACTTTAAGACTTGTGGACTTCAAAGTTGCCAAAGTTGAAGACCCCTGCTCTATTCTGTCTCTAATGTTTCAGGGACATCCACCAGATTGATTAATTTATGATAACACATAGTCCTTACAGATTCCCATGGTTGTAGGTGTGGAAATGTGGGAAAACAGCAGGGAAAAACTCTGCAACAATGTAAACTGGAGAGGCAGATGAAAAAAAATTATTAAAACGGCTTACTGGTGATGAAGATTGGGAGTGTCTATGGAAATTCTCAGTCATCCAAGTCATGGTTGTCCCAAAGGTGCTTTTTCAAAAGGCAATTGGACTTTGTTTTTCTTAAGTTTTCTTAAGTTTTTCTTAAGGAGCCTGAGTGGCGTAGGAGGCTAATGCCTCCTACTAAGGCAGCATTTAACATCCAGCTGCCTGCAATTACTGTGAATTCAATTCTCACCAGGCTCAAGGTCGACTCAGCCTTCCATCCTTTCTAAGGTGGGTAAAATGAGGACCCGGTTTGTGGGGGCAATAAGTTGACTTTGTATAAATATACAAAAGTATGAAGGCTATTGCTTAACGCATTGCAAGCCGCCCTGAGTCTCCGGAAAAGGGCGGCATATAAAAAATAAATAAATAAATAAATAAATAAACAAACAAACAAACAAACAAACAAACAAATAAATAAATAAGTTGCCTTTTGTAAAAACACCTCTGGGACATGAGGATTGTGGGGGTTATTTATATATTCTTCTAGTACATTCTTATTTATTTTTTCACATTTTCTCTATTTTTTCCCTTTTGCACCATTTTCTCTATTTTTCTTTCTTTTACTTTGTATTAGTTTTTACTAGTGCAATTATAATCGTCAGCAAAATAGTTTGGGAGGGAAAAAAAAATTAAAACCAGAGAAGCCACATGGAGAAGAACAGCCCAGCCGAGACACTTCAGTGTACATGAATTTTATGTTGCATTTCATCTCTCTCTTTTTCTTCTAGACTTTCTTCATATTTTCAGATCATTTGTTTCCTATGATGATGATGATGATGATGATGATGGCCCATGGCACAAGTCAGCCAGATGTTCAGACTGGATTTGTCATTTTTATTAACTTGAGTCCTTCTAAGAACCTGGAATAGGCAGAAGTGAATCTTGGATGGGTGTCGGAGACAACTTCGCAGGATGGAAGCCACCTTTTGCAATGGACTGATGGTGATGTTGCCA